TGTTTTAGTAACGCTACCCGACAACCACATCAACTGCCTGGTCTCCAATTAGGGAATTCCCTGTACTATGAGTACCGGAGCAACGGAATTTACAAAAAAAATTACTTAAATTAATTAATCGAACACGGGACTTCCGCATCCAGCGCCACAGTGTAAACCGTTAGGCTACTGAGTTGTGAAATCGTCCTTTATATTACTGATGTCTGATTTATTACGCAAGTTTCAAATTTTCAATTTTAATAAAAAAAATTAATATATGAGTTAGCTGGTTAATTTCATAGATATTTATCATAGATATCAAACAGGTCCAATAAATATAATTATACCCTTTTTATAAATAAAATAACCAAGTTCAAAAGTTTGTGGATTTATATCTATTTGCCAAGTTTTATTGAAAACGGTTAAAGGAAAGTGGTTGAATTACAATAAACCTGATTAATTCCCTGATTTCCTACCCTTAGGAGTGGAATATTTTCTTTAAATCTAAATGGGCCCAATAAAAAACAACAAAACAAGAATCATCAAAATCGGTTCACAAATTACAACAGAGTATTTAAACGCGTAACATACACACAAAAAAATGTAGTCGAATTGAGAACCTTCTCCTTTTTTGGAAGTCGGTTAAAAATTGGTTAAATGTTTTGTTACATCGTTTGTAATATCCCATATAATATTTTTAGTATGACTATTATTGTATTCCTTTATTTGATACAGCTTCATTGAATTGATAAATAAAACATTATATTGCCGTGTAAAAATAATGTCGTTGACGATTAAAGAACAAAGCAAAAAGTCTAACAGGAAAGACATAATAGCTATTAAAATTAATAAAATTTGTGGTGAACCAAAACTAATTGATGATGACCGGAGATATTAACATAAAAACATACAGCAATAGGAATGTGTAACGCATACCTATTGCAACGAAACGTGATCTGTTGAATAAATAAAATATGAAAATGTATTGACCGGTAATAACACGTTATTAAATTTGTATAACAATTAATGTGTAAGTTAATTCCATTTCTTTTATTTTTTGTTATTTAACACAGTATAAACGTACGTATATCATAACAATGGTACGTATTACGTATACATAACTATTATAATCTGTTTCTATTAACACTGAAGTTCTTTAGCATATTTCAATTATAAAGACGGAAGGCGCTCATTTATTAGTTAATGCTATTTTGTAACCAATTTAAATAAAATATGTTCAAAAGTAAATAACGCCAACATTAAAGTATTATTAAATAATGTTATTTTTGGGCATGTTTAATTTGTAAGCGAGAGGAAGTGAAGTATGAAACGTTTTATATTATATTGACTATTGAATTGTATAGTGTAGTGAAATTAATTTAAAAAATAATTGTTAATTTTTTTTATTATTGAGCATTATTTATTTTTATAACATATTTGCTCGTAAAGTGGCTGAAATCACACCAATTTCAATATTGTAAAGTATTTCATTACGCACTTGTGCGTTATTGTAATGTAAAAACGCACGAGTTTTTTTTTTTAATAAAGTAACATGCACGGTTTTTTAAGATGCTCCGTCTAAAAATGAACGATACTTTTTTAAATCTTTGCAAAGAGTTTTGATGTTAGAAAAGTGGTCAATATTTTATGAATAAAATTAACTTTGGGAGACAAAATATAGTAAATAAACATTTAATTTTTTCATTTAATTAATTTTGACAATAAATTACAACCATTTATCTGTAACAAAAACACAAAAATATTAATTTACTTTATTAGTAATACTGGCTATTTTTATACCTTTGCCTAAAAAAAAAACGTTGATGCGCGCGCATGGCTAATTTGTGGACAAATAGAAATTATTTCGCGCGCTTTTTCTGTTCGCTGTATTGTTTTTATTTGAAAATGTCGTCAAGTAGTGATGAATTTATTAATTTGACACCGCCACAAGTCTTAAACGCAGCGAAAAAGGCTACTCTAAGCCTCTTACCTGAAAAAATCGACCGATAGATACTTACAAGCGTATCAAAATTTCATCATATGGAAAACAAGCAAAGATGCAAATTCATTTTCAGAAAATGTCTTTTTAGCCTATTTCATGGAACTTTCTCAAAAATATAAGTCAAGCTCATTGTGGTGCTACTATTCAATGCTAAAAAGCACTATGAAAACAAACCATGGTATTGATATCAAGTCATACTCCAACTTGATAGCATTTCTAAAAAGACGCTCAGATGGCCATGTAAGTAAAAAGTCGAAAGTATTTTCGGCTGACAATATCAAGAAGTTCCTAAAAGAAGCTCCGGATTGGCGATATTTGGCAACAAAGGTCAGTTGAAACTAAATTATTGTTATTAATTTCTTTCACTTTCGTATTTCTTTACAATATACGTTCTTTTTATCTCTTTTCAGGTCATATTAATATTCGGTATAAATGGTGCATGTAGACGTCAAGAGTTGGCAAACATAACAACTAATGATGTCGAGAACCATGGGCGGGTTCTTCTTGTCCAGGTCAAAAACACAAAAAATAAAATTCCAAGGTCGTTCACAATACAGGGGCCTTTTTACGACGTAGTGAAGAAATACGAAGCGCTTCGTTCAACAAAAGCTAATTCCAACAGATTTCTTCAAAAGTACCAAAATGGAAAATGCACTAACCAACCTATTGGCATTAATAAATTGGGAGCAATGCCGAAAGAAATTGCCACTTTCTTAAATTTGCCTCAAGCACATGAATACACAGGGCACAGTTTCAGAAGGTCCTCGGCTACATTGCTCGCCGATTCAGGTGCGGACTTATTGACACTAAAACGCCACGGAGGATGGCGGTCAAGCAATGTAGCCGAAGGATACATAGAAGACTCGATAAGAAATAAAGAAGAAATTAGCTCTCGCATTACAAGGAACATAAATTTGGAGTCAAGTGTTGACTTTCAACCATCTACGAGCACACACGCGTACATTCCACCATCGTCGCCGCAGCCGCAACCGCCTCCGCCGCCGCCACCGACTGCAGAACTCTGTGGTCTCGTTTCTCCTACTTTCACTCAAGAGAGTGAGAGAGAGACTGGGGAGATTGTAACTAATAATAATAACTTGACAACATTAAAAATGCCAACTGGCAACGTAACAATCACTTTTAAAAATTGTTTAAATTTCTATAACTGCTTTAACAAGTAATTAAAGATTTATTCGTTTAAGAAAGTCAGAGTCTTATTTATTTCCTCGCAAATATGTTATAAAACGTCGTATGACATACGTGCGCTTTGAAAATTACAGCCTCTGCTTTCTTACAGCACTCGCCTACGGCTCGGGCTAGCTATACCGCCTCGGCTGTAATTTTCAACTTACCGCACTTATGTCATAATGTACTATTACAATATTTTGTTTTTTTATGATACCATAATTGATGGGACGAACAAGTTGTATGCCTGGTGGCAAGCGACACTACTGTCCATAGCAGTTACAGTGCCACTCAGAGCTTTAAATTGCAAAGATGTTAGCGTCACTGCCAGTGCGCCCGTCAGCCTGGGACATATGTTGACAAATCCCATGTGCCCGTAATTTCACCAGCACAGTTAACCTTCAAAACCGGAACAAAGTAACGCTTGCATTACTACTCGGCGACAGAAATTGGTAAGGTGGCAGTATACTTCCTTAGACGAACTCTTTCACAAGCTCTACTGCTACTAATTTGTATTTATTACATTCAAAATTGTTTTAAGGTAATCTATTATTACTTATAATAAATAGACGATCATGTTTTCACTGACATTGTATTTAAAACAGTAACAAAAGACCCTGATTGCAAAAATAAATGTTATATTCTGTTGTAAAGAATTACCGTTCGTCCTGTTTTAACAACAAAGTCAATGTAGATTGGATATGTTCAAAGTATAATACAAAATGAAGAGTTAAATATTTTGAGGGTCGTTTATTTCTTATTACGAATAAATGGAGAACTGAGTCAATCACAGAGCAAAGGGAGTTCTTCTAATTTCGTGGTGAAACGTGTCACAGATCAAACGCGATAATTACGAGTATTTGTTACACATGACTATAATTTTCCACTGTTGTCATACTGACAGTATGTTTATTCATTGATTAGGTATTGGTTGCTTAGAGATTACTGTTTAAGTTGTCCACTATACGCTTATTAAGAGGATTGTAAACAAACATTTCAGTATCATAAGTTGTTTGTTTTTTTTTATGTAGGATATTTTTTTAACCCGAAACCTCTCAATGCGACATTCCTATCATTAAATTGAACAGTTTTTGTTTTGACCGTTTTCAAGAATTCGACCAAAAATGTTTCCACTTCCCATAAACCGGTATTAACATTTTATCGATTTTCACGGATTATCAAATAGTTCGTGTGAATTTCAAAAACTTGTAGAAGAAATATTTAATGTAAGAAAAGCCCTGATATGAAACTTTTTGTAATTAAAAAATTACTCTGAATTAAAAATGTGTAAATTACACTTGGGAAATAAAATTCCGAGCCATCGCCACTGGTTTTTAGTTTCAAATTGTTATTTCTGGTTTGACAGTTTCAAATTGCAACAGATATCATTGTGTGATAATATTTTAATGATCTTCAAAACTAAATTAAATTACGTAAAATTAAAGTAAGAAGTTGTGTGCATGTTGTACTTGGATAATTTATGTGGGTACTCCACATAAATGATTGTTAGGCTTAGGGGAATAAAATTAAGTGATGAAATCTTGCACATTTAATGTTTTTTAACCTAGACTGCTCGTAACAGCTTAAAAGCTTAAACGGTCGGTAAAAGGTATTATAAAAGTAACTCATATTTTGCAATACTTTTGTAGTATAAAAAAAAAATAAACTTACCCTATTTATTACGACTCTTAGGCAACTGCAGCACTTTATCCAAAATAAATCGATTTTTTAACTTATCCTTCGATTTTATTAAAAAAATATCACGAAACATAAAGCTCGTAAAAATTTTACGAGAAAAATATTAGATTGGAATAGTATAATACTACGTACTTACTTTGCAAACTTTCTTCACTCGGTAAAAAGTTTCAGAACCGCCGATTTTTTATCACTCGTCAAATAATAAATATTGTTGGCTGTTACATGAGTTATTTCATTTAACAGAGCAAGTTTGGGAGAATATTGTTGTAACTAATTTACTATTTTCATTCAAAAATCTCCAAAATCATTTCGCGCGTTAAAACACAAATTGACGTTCTTACGGTATTTGAAATTCGATTACACTAAAACGTATTCCCCGCCAGACGCGTGCCGGCGAACTGGCTGGTAAAAATTTCGATGTCAGATCGGAACGCACCGGCATAATCCAACCGAATCAGAGTAAACACTAAATCCACTGATCCCTAGTCTACATCTAGATCATTGCATATGGCCGGTTGTATACTATTTCACTTTCTAAGCAAGGCGTGACTGCAGCGCTCCAGACCCGTGTGCGATAAAAACTAGTGAGCACTGATTAAAGTAAACAGCATAAATTAAAAACCTGATAGACTTAGGGTACAGTAGCTGCCTAAGACGGTAAAAAGTCAATTTAAGATAATTTATGTTTGTTTGTTTGTAATGTTTCGGGGGACATGTAGTTTTAAACATATATTAAGTTGATGTCATAGGTGTATCTCATGTACTTACTTTAGAGATTGCACGGCAAATGAATGTTCGTGCATGCGGTTCTAGCGGTCGAACACGCAAGGTTCTTTTTCGTTGTACATTTTTTTGAGTTGGCATACGGACAGGTCCACTCTACAACTTGAATTATTACTATTACACACTATCTCCAAATTTATTAGTGTTTTCCAATCATTATAGTACTGTAACCGTTTTCCATTTCCGACATTTATAGACATAACAAAAGATTTTACGTATTATTGGATATGGAATAGGTTGTTATATCAACTATTTATTTTAAGCTTGTCGCCTTACACGAATAAATATATTTTTGTATATTATTATTATATTTTTATTAATATCATAAAATATTTTACGCAAATAACAGCCCATGTTGTTAAGTGTTTATGTATGAACAAACAGTATAGCAATTTACCAAATGTTTGTGATTATTTGATTATTATTTAGCTATATTATACAAAATAATGCAGACCAATGTATAAGTATACACAATATAAGCGAATAAATATGGGAAAAAAGCGAATAAATCGATACGTACTAGTTACAATTATTCGCATGTCACGATTGTGGCTCATTTACCGACCCCTCATCATCATCATCATCATCGTGATCAACTCATTATAAGTCCCAATGTTAGGCACGGAACCCTTTGAAGGAAATTGTTTAGGCCATTATCCGCCACGCTGGCCCTGGGGGGTTAGCACTTTTTCCAATTGTGGTGGACCTTCTTCAATTTGCAGATTTCATTACGATGTTAGCGAGAGATTTTGCTACTCCTCCTAGTAGCTAGCTAGTAGACCGTCAATCAATCTTCCCCACTGCACTCTGTCTTTGGCTAGGTAGAGTGCGACGCTCACGGGTATTGCCAGACTTTCAGCCACCTGGTCACACCATCGTTTCGAACTTCGTTCACTAGGTCGTTTGCACTCGATTATAGGTATTGCTATTAAATATTCACAAATGTATGTAAGTTTGATGTTAAAGTACTTGGTAAGGCATTGGTACTTGCCATCACAGATATTAGAACCATCACAAGCAATAAAGTGTTTATCTATATCTGCTACATACGAAGATAAGTTGTCACCTATTTACACTCACAGAAATTAGGAGGAACGCTAAAAAGATTGAATTATGATAACAATATTTATATGAGCCACTAACCAATAAACAAAAGCGACTCCAATTGTCTTTCGATTTACTTACTTTTACTATCTTTACCTTAGCGCAATATTATAATAATAGATGCTTATGAAAGTATACGCTGCAGAGACAGAAACAATTGGCGTATGGTGTGTTTGAGGTCTAGACCCTCTTTCGGAAGTTGACGTAATTAAGTACTTAGTAATAAAGAATCTCGTAGTCGGTAGATAAAGCGATGATCTAGAAATAAGGCCCAACACAAACAAAGTTGTTGATGACCGATGTTACGACATAAAACCTATAACAGGTTATTAAGCAGGTCCCTTATGTAATTCTCTTAACGGGACGGTGTTCTAGAAAGTCATGATTAATTATTATAAAAACTGACGATAACACGAAATCGAAAGTGCTGCCTATGACACTGTTCCAGCGGTCGTCAATGGGCTCTATTTATCTTTAAAACAGGGTTATAATATTCTTGTGATTGCTCTAAATCGATAAGAACCAACTAACAAGCATATTTTACTTGAATAGAAGCGTGAGAAACAAATTAATAATAACAATTACATTGAAGAACAATTATTATTAAACAATACAAAGTTACAAATTACACTGGAACACTGACCGACTGAATAGTCGGTGGCCTAATAACATATCTATCTACCTTATACGAACTTGGTGCAATAGATGCAAACCAGTTGCATTTCACCATTAAAAGCAGTTGTGAGACTTGTACACGTATAAAGTTAAAATACATGTGTACATTTTAATTACTAGCGGTAGAGCTAATTGTCAAAGAGTTCGACCAATTTTTGCCGTCCAGCGGTAATATGAGTCTTATTGCGCTCTTGTTTTGAAGGATAAGGGTGCTGGTGAAATTATAGGCACATGGGACTTGTCAACTAAGGTCTTAGGGTGATGAGCGCAGTGGCAGTGCCCCTCAGATCTTACCGATTTAAAGCTCTACATTATAATTACTGGCAGTAGAGCTCCTTGTCAAAGAGTTCGTCCAGTTTTTACCGTCAAGCGGTAATATGAGCCTTACTGCGCTCCGGTTTTAAAGGATAAGGGTGCTGGTGAAATTATAGGTACATATGACTTGTCAACTAAGATCTTAATGTGACGGGCGCAATGGCAATGCCCCTCAGATCTTACCGATTTAAAGCTCTTACAACAAAACTAACTCACGATTTGCTCGTTCCGTGGCTTGGTATCATAAAAAAATATTTGTAGATGTTTTTGTCACTGTGTCAACATTTATTATATCTCATTCTAGGAAATGAAACTATTTTTCCGGATTTAAATCGCGTATATTTGTTTTTTCAAACAAACCGACGTTTCGGGCCCTTTACAGGTCCCATGGTCACGGTTGACTGAGGTGGTACAGTCTTCAACCAGTTGTGTCTAATATTAATGCAAACCACCCTATTTTTTCACTATAGTTACAATAGTTATTAATTAAATACCTTATTTTTAATTTTACAAAGAAAACATTCCAATTTACGCTACATTAGGTTTTACAAATTATTTTATTGAATGAATTTTTATTAAGTTTAATTTATTATTAATTATTAATAGAAATTCAGTTTTGCAAAATCGTTTGAATTACGCAGTGGCTCCTCGTCGTGTTCCATACGAAGAAATTATTTGTAACGTTGAGGATTGTCTAGTTAAAAACAACATGAGAAAGGAAGTTTTGGAGGCAATACGCCAAGACGTTTCGTTAATATTGCGTTCAAATAAACAGCCCAGACCGAATCTTACTCGAGATGAATATAACGCGCTGAAGACCTTCCGCGAAGATTCTGAATTAGTCATCCTCCGTGCAGATAAAGGTAACGCGACGGTGGTCATGAATACGTCAGATTATAACAGCAAAATAACTGACTTACTATCGGATGAAAGCACTTATAAAAAGATGAAGAAAGACCCTACCACCAAGATATTAAAAACAACAACTAACTTAATATCTAAGCACTCCGATACGCTGAAACTTGATGTAAGTGCGTTTGTGCCCTGCGCCGTGAAACCACCAAAACTGTATGGGTTACCAAAAATACACAAGGCTGACAGCCCACTCCGTCCCATAGTTAGCCAGATTGACACACCAACCTACAAACTGGCTCAACACATGGCAAAGGTACTGTCACCATTGAGAGGGAACACTTCCACACATGTGAAGGATTCATACCATTTCATCAGTGGAATCAAAGATCTACGGTTAACTGATGATGACACCATGGTCAGTTTTGATGTTCAGTCGCTGTTTACCAACCTACCAGTAAAAGACTGCATTGAAATTGTACGTAGGAAGCTAAGGGAACATAATATGTCCATTGAATATGCAGAATTATTAGAACACTGCCTAAGATCAGGCTATCTATTGTGAATAATGAATTCTACCTACAAATTGACGGTATAGCGATGGGCTCCCCGGTATCTCCCGTTGTTGCCGATATTTTCATGGAAGACTTCGAGGAGCGAGTTTTACCCATGGCCTCAGCTAGGCCGAAGATTTTCAAACGGTACTTTGATGATACTTTCACAATATTACCTAAAGATAGCATACCTTCTTTCTTGGACCATCTTAATTCTTTTAGTACTAAGATCCAATTTACTATGGAACAAGAGAATTGTGGTACTTTAGCTTTCTTAGATGTTTTAATTAAAAGAAATCCTAATAACACCTTAGGCCATACCGTATTTCGAAAGAAAACCCATACAGATAGGTACCTCAATGGTAATTCCCATCACCATCCTAGCCAGTTAGCTACCGTGGGCAAATCTTTGTTTCAGAGAGCATATGGTGTCTGCGACAGTAATCATCTGGCGGGGGCACAGTAATCATCAGCATATAAAGCAAGTCCTACATGCGAATAAGTTGAGGATTCCACGCCAATGCCGCAGACCCCGTGTGAAACCACCAACAGTCGAGCGAAGACCTGCCATCTTACCTTACGTGAGAGGTGTTACAGACAAGATCGGAAGAATCCTCAGGCGTGCATCTATCAAGACCTATTTCAAGTCCCTGAGGAAGATTTCTCAGTTCCTGAGACCCGTGAAATGTAACATCCCCTTACAGGATGCAGGAGTTTACAAGCTTGACTGTGAGTGCGGTCTCTCTTATATTGGACAAACAAAGCGAAGTATTTGTACCCGCGTCAAAGAACATATAGCTGATGTCAATCACCGTCGCGTAAACAAGTCTGCAGTCTGCGAGCATGTCATGGATAAACCTACACATTCAATGAAGTTTGACAAACCCCAGGTCCTTGCAAAAGAAGTCCGTTATCTGCCCAGGATGCTGCGAGAGGCCATTGAAATTAAAAAACATCCTAATTTCAACAGGGAAGATGGTTTCTCCGTACCACCAGTTTGGGATCCAGTATTTCCTCTAATGAAAAATCCCAAACAGACATAAGACTGCAGTACTAATTAATATGTTTTAGTTTATTCTAATTTCTATTAATAATTAATAATAAATTAAACTTAATAAAAATTCATTCAA